AAAGCGAGACTTTAAGCCGGTTATAAATAGGTAATTGAAGGCTAAATAGATTGTTAAAGGCGAGAAAAATATCGAATAACCTTAAAAAACAGCTATATTGTTACCTATACCTTTCGCCCAGTGGTAATGTACAAATGTGTCATGTGGATAATACAGAAATCAAAGAAAGCTTTTGGGCGACAATAACAATGATGGGAGAACCAAATCAGGAAAGATGTAAAATCGGTCGATCCAAAGGCTATTTAGTATATTTTGGTGATGGAAAGAGTGAAGTGATCTGTGTTTCACTGTATGTCAATCGTCGATTACAAAAAGAATAAGTTAGTGAAAAAAAATGAATATAAATAGTTTGATAGCCTTTTTTAAATTTAATAGGTCATAAGATTGAGGTTTCAGATATACTTTAAACCTATAAGTCAATTTTAACAAGAACAAGTTTACGTGATGAATGACGTAATTATAACGTTTAAAATGAACATTTTTTTCAAAACGTAATCAAAGAACAAAAAACTAAATTATGTTAAATCAATAAACGTTAAATATCATTGAACATAACACAATTGTAACGTAAAACAACGATGAAAATATTGCTTTATATTAACTCGCACGTAAATTTAAAAATGCATTTTTTCTAAAAAGTTAATCAAACCGACATTATATTTTTTCAAAAATAACTGCAAAACTGTGGACAATTTCATTATAATACATACATTATATGGCCCAAGTTTTTTTATTTTCATTCTTGTTAATTATACATGTCATTTTATGGAAAACGGCGTGTCTACAGCAAAATAGTTTTAATTAGATGTATTTGATTACAGATCTTTCGTATAACCAAGACCATGCACTCGTTAAGATAAAAATGTTTAATGACCTTGCTACTAATATTAAATTTATCACACTTGTATTAAATAACATACATATCAGTATATCCTGACTATACTAAACGCTTTGAATACATACACTAGTTATTTAATCACATTTATCCTTAAGTATCGATTTAAAATTGTATTTTGCAATTACGCATTACTTATACACTGTATTAATATGTATAAATAGTTCAATAAATTAAAAAAATTTAGAGAAAACTAAAATAATAAAAAAATAAAATTGTTTTAGATATTAACAATACTTTTGCATAATGAATTTTTTATAAAGAGAATAGAAAATACTAATAAACAACTCTAGTTTCCATTTCTGTTTCAAATATTTGTTACACTGTAAATAATTGTTTAAATATTTGTGGGTAATATAATCATAGAGTCTGCTTTTAAAAATATTGACAAATTATTTACTAAATGTTCCCACTATAATGAAATTGAAGGGCATGGCGCAACAAACAGATAAATCCAACTTTTCAGAAAATAACTTTTTGTTAATTTTGAATAAACTTGATTTTTCTGCGTTAATCAGTACAAAAACAAATTCTATATTTCTATAGATAAATAAAAATTTCTTATTTGTAGAGATATTTAATTTAGAAAACACATGTTACCATTGTCTTTAATAAAAAAATGTTAATAAAATTGCTTATCCTAAAATATTTTTAAAATATGGACTTGTAGTGGTTATTGCACCAAGCCCATCAATTACTAAATTTTCACTTGTTTAACATTATCAGATTTCGAACTTAAAAAAATAATTGGAAAATTGAAAACGCGTCACACACACATAATTTATGTTTTGTTTTACAAATGTGATTGAATAAAGACCATACTATAATATCATTCATGGATTAAATCTATTCATCTATAATTTCATATATTATGAGCGGTCGGGTTTCCACGATCACATGGCTGGCCGTCGGGTTTATACGCGTTTATTGTATTCACATGTATTCAATAAGATAACATTGAGTTCAGTTATAATTACAATTATTTAAATAGTTTTTGTGCAAAAATGTTTACACATATGTTAAAGGAACATTAAATACGATGAATAACGGGGAAAAACCTGACCTATGGTTAAAAAGGTTGCAGGATTTCCATCTAGTCATAACAATCAACAATAAGATAATATAATTGCATCATAATATGCAGTGGTACTATCTTTTTAAGCATAATAAAACTTTTTTCGTCAAAAAGAGTATTTAATTGTATGTAGGGAGGTAATTCGGGAAATACCAAAGTGGACAGTGGCCCTGATTTTTAGTGATCCATGAAAAGTTAATATTTTTTCTTTAAAATATGCTGATAATTTGCAAAATAAAATTAGCAATAATGAAAAATTTTAAGTGTGAAGTGACCCGTTTAAAAGTTTACCAGTCCTAAAAAAAATAAATGATGCTACAAATTACGAAGTGTAAATCCAGACTATATGCATATATAGATGTGGGGATTAAATAAGATAAAACAAATATTGTAATTTTTTAAATTATAACTGATTAAATAAAGACATTATAATTTTATCATAAGAGCTGGGCATAAGCTTTGGGCCCTCCTACATGTGCAGTTTCCCACTTCACAACAAATTTTTGTAGAATTGTAGAGCACTTATTATTTTTTTTTTTTACAGTTTCATACTGTCTAAATAATGTTATAAACGTTTTTTTACATGAGGAATTGTTAATAATTATATCTTTGCATACGAAACATGTGAAATGACGTGTAGGTACAATGAACTTGAGTTTTTTTCATTCTATTCAAAGCATTGTGGTTTTTAACATAATATGTTAATATATTATATAATTATGGTGTAGGGAGAAATGCAATAATATGAGCAAACTATCCACTATGCGGGTATCCGATCAACATCAATATTTAATAATATAAAAATATATATCATATAAGATATAACATACAAAAATATTTTTGAAATTTACTTAAAATCCCAGAATTATGTAAAAAATTGTGTGAATAGTTATTTTTAACAGAAACTGCAATTTATTATAACTTAAAACCTATAATTTACTAACAAAAATATTGAAAATATAATAGCTGTTTAAAATCACAAAAAATACCATTAACATCTACAGAGTGATTCATATATCATGAAACACTTAACTAGTTAAAAAATAAAAATATTGAAAAATTTCCTTATGGTTTAGCAACATATTTTTCATGGCAAAAATAATAAAATCGATTTTTATAATATATACGATTAATTCAACTCTAATGGAATAAATAAGTGTAGCATTATTTCTTTCTCTAAAAAATGCAACTAAATAACATTTAACTGAAATTTAAATCATTAAAATTTATATTGAACTTGCGATAAAATATCTTTGAGTAATTTTTGATTCTAAACTTTTAAACATACATATATTGGAAATAACAAAAAAAAACCTTTAAGTAATTGGTGCAGTTAGATGGAGCTGTCTTATATTTAATGATCGAATCACATTCAAATGTCTATTCCTCTCTTGTTAAATCTCATATCTTGAATACGCTATTTTTATTTGGGAAATCAAAACTCTAATCCATAGCAACTCAGATTAAGTCCATAAGAAACAAAAATATTCGTCATTTATTTCTAGTTTTAAATTAATAGTATTTTTAATATAGCTAGTTTAATATAGTTTTAAATAATATCAGCCGCAAGTGATCAATTTTTATTATATATTCGCTATATATCATATAAATGTAATATTTCATAAAACCTCATCTATATCGTAAGAATATTCTTCAAATATTTGACTTAAAAACTTAAATGGATAGAATATGTAATACTTATATCATGTTTATAATGCAAAATTGAATTACAGTAATTGTAAAATTGTAGACAGTAATTTTTATGTATCCTGTCATTGTTATCATTATAATATGATTTGTATATAAAATAGGATTTACATCTGTTAATAAAAATAAAGAAATAATATTGAGAAATTTTTTTGGTTTCTTTAAAATTTCTCTATAGGCAAACTGTATAAACAATATAGTTTTAATAATTTTGTTATGACTATTACGGTTTATATTATTTGATTTCCAACGAGTACAGATGTTTAAAATTTAATAGTTAGCAAAAAAAAGCGTATTTATTTTTTAAAAATAAAACTGCAGCATTATCATGTCGCATATTGATAAACAGCACCATTGCAAAGAAATACGATAAACTGTGCAACCTATCATGTAATGAACTGGTAGTAATTATCAATTAACGGCTAAATAAATATATCGTCTTTTAAAAATAAGTACACCTTTTCCTGATCGGCCCTAAACTTTAAACGTGGAAAGTCAAACAATGTACAATTTTTTATTTAGTAAAAATCATTTTTTCAATTTGATTAACCTGCTGATATAAAAAAAATCGAGTAACCTTTGTAAATTAAATGTTGATAAGAGTTTAGGATATATGGTGTGGTAGCAGAAATTTGATTTTTTCCGTAGAGAAGCTCAACAAATAACCAATTTTTATTAAAATAATAATTATTAAAAATAATTCTTATATTTATAAATATATTTAATGAGGCGTAGTTGAGGGATCTTCCAGTAAATAATTTACTTATATAAAACAGAAATTATTAATAGTTAATCCTGACAATTATTTTAATTATAAATGATTCATGAGTTATCGCTCAATTTCACGAAGTAAACCAATAATAAACCTTGTCGTGATTAATAAAAGTAACTAGTTCATAGGAATTTGATCGACAATCGTTTATTATTTTTTCGCTCCGTCACACTACACTTCCTGTTTGGACATTTCGTTCTTTGTACCTAATCATTCTTGTCGTCCTTGCTAATAAATCTCCTCCACAAATTAGATCATTACTATTGATAATATCCATCTGTTGTTATGTTCAGGTGCTTATGTCTTGTTCGAGTGAAAGCTCGGAAGTAAAGTGGCAGGACATCAACTAATGTAAATCGAAATATTATATATTAAAAATATGTAATGTTTTTCGTTTACATTAGAGGCCAACGTCGTCTACGGTGACCTTGCCATCTGAGTGCTCCCTACCACATAGCTCACACGTTTTTTTTCTCGATATCCGCAGTCGCCTCATTATTTCGACAATTATTATTATCACTAACTTTTTTTTTTTATAACCTCAGACCGGCTGCTCCGAGTCAGCCTCATCAGTATCCGCTCGGGATCCAATCGTCGCGCGCGTTAAAATACTCAGTGACCATCATGCCAAGCTGTACGTTATCAACAGTAGCCGGTAAAACATTCATACTCGATACGCTAATGTTAAGCCATTAGTTTGTTATGTGAAGTGTTAAAATTTTAATCTATTAAATTTATTTATTAAAAAGTTTCTTTTAATTTAAATTAATTTTATCATCGTGAGACAAAAACTTTCTTGGATATTGTCAATTTTATAGGATCAGGTAATTGATGACTTTATATTACCATTTGTTAATTTATCTTTATCAAAAAGAGGCGACTATCATTTTAAAAATTCAACGCTTTCTTAAAGATATTAAGAAAATTTTATATTTAAAAATTAAATAGCTGCGACAAATTTTAGGTGATTGTAGGAAAATTGTCCTAATACGACACTTTTTTTGTTGAATGAAGAATTTGGAGGGGAAACTTGTTTATTAACTTTTGAAACTTTAATAGCTCATTTTTAATTGTATTAATTACAGATTTTGCCTATCAATTGATAAATTAAGCAAAAATTTACAATTTTAAAAATGTGACTACTATGTCATTTTACCAGATAAATTGTTAAAAATAAGTTGTAACTCATGAAACATAATTTTGGTGTTAAATTTTATGATAAATGTTAAAATGAGGAAACTATTCTAAATTTTAGTAAGAGGTTTAAGTTATTTATTTAAAGAGCCTTTGGTTCGCAATAGTTTTTAATTTTATCAAAATCGCCAATATATCATATTAAGCAGATCTCCCCTATCTTTAATGTTTGATTAATCAATATTTTACCGAGTTGATCAATTTATATCTTATTAAAATTATTTTATATCCTAGTCTTAGTTTGTTAATTCTCTTATGGTAAAAATTGATTTAGTTTAGTTTTGATTTAATTTTTAAAAATATATTTGTATAAAAACGTTAAATTTGAATAAGTGTTCACAACTAAATTAAAAAAAGGTGGGGAATTAATGACCACTCTGCCAGTCACCACCTTAGCTTTAATGTTGCGCTGTTTGCTATTGGTTCCCAAATGGGTGATAATACAAGAACTTTGACAGTGACACACAATTTGTCTTATTAGCTTTCTCAGACATAATAATGTCGCATCAAGCGACAGGTTATGTAAAATTCCTACCAAATCATTGTAAGGTAGAGCCGACCCCAATCAGATCGAATAGAGGCTAAGGAGATTTAAATTTAAATAAAACGTCATATGTCACTGAAATTTTCGAAAATTGTAAAAACTCAAAAAGTATAAATTGAACTTTATTCAAACAATTAAAAAAACTACACAAATAAATTTTCTGTACGTATTAAAAATTACATCAGTGACCAAGTCAGAATTTTTTTTTAGGGGGGCGTTTGTTTTTAACATATAGGAATTTCATTAGAATCTCTCATAAGTTTAGCATTCTATAACTGAGATAAAGAAAATATAAACTAGCAAATCGAAGAATAGTTAAAAATTAATTGAATATATTTTAGGACTTAATCAGGTGTTTTCATAGAACATAACTATAATTTTTATATATTCAGGAAAGGGCAAACTGCAACCCCTAGTTATGTTATTGGATTTCATGAAATAGCGTAGTGTAAAGAATACAAAAAGATCAATAAAAATGATAATTTAATATGTAGTAAACCTTAATAAGCTAGATAATATGAACTATGTAACTTATAAAAACGTAATTGATTAATTAATTAATTGGTAAGAAGTAAACATTTTTCTAAATTTATAAATATCATAAAATAAATAGTCATTTTTACAATATGCAACTATGTGATGCAATTTGCTACACATAGTTTTTAATAATGGACAATTATTTAGTTTTTTACTTAATGAAAAATTGTATTACTGTGTACATGTCGTAGATTCACTGTTTTTTGTTGCATTATAACTTTACTCTATAGAATCTCATTGATGCAAAATCGAATTGGCAAATCGTATGAAAGTCATATTAAAAATTTACCTCAGTTTTTAACGCTAATATTTCAAATCTGTTTTACAATAAATAATTTTTATAACAAATTTATTAACAATGACATTATTGAGAAAAAACACTTAGTGGAGCCACCCGACAACTTTAGATTAAATTTATGAAAAATAATTATTGAGTATTCCGTTTTACAATATATTTTCACTCACGATATTTTTTTTTTTTGTATGAACTAACTATATATTATAAATAAATTATGTAAAATCACTCCTTATATAAATTGATTATATTAGTATTTATGGTATCCATACTTTTACTTAAAGCCAAACAAAGAGAAAAATATTATTGTTATAATATAAAATATTATTATTTAAAATTAATTCAGAATTGAATTTCGGTAGAGGAAGATTGGCGTCCTACTTGCTAAGATATTTGCTATAAGATAAAACATTTTTATACAATGAAATTTTGTTATGCTCTTTCTACTTCCCCACAACTCTAGTGACATCGAATAGATAGATAAAAAATCGATAAGAAAATTTTGGTTCTTGCTATCTAAAAAGATGAATGATTCAGAAAGTTGGGACTTGTAAATCAATAATGATTAATTACATTACTTTTAAAAACTAGATTTGCGAATGATACTTTGTTTTCCTATATCTAAACACAATGGTTCAACCTGGATAAAAGTAAGGGTAGGGACATCCCCAATGAGTATTTTGCTTGCTAAATCACCATATTTTTGATCTTCTGAGAAGATTTTTTTTCTCTTCACTTGACAAGTAACTGACAAAAATGTTTTTTTGAAATAATTACCCACCGATATATCTCTAGCTATGTTAGTCTACTGATCCTAATAACGTTATTGCTTTGCGTATGATTTATTCTTAATTTAAGTACTTGACTAAACTAACAATTTTTTAAAATTAAATGATGAAAATATTGTCAAAAATACAACATAAACAATCTTGTTTTAACAATCTTTATTTTTCAATCTTTTAAGATTGAACTTAAATGCAAATGACTAACTTCATAATTATTCATGGGAAGTAAAAATATAATAACATTATAATTAATGTTATAAATTGTTAATGACTATTTATTTTTATCAAATATTTTATATTTCAATGCTGATATTAAATTATGACTCTGACCCACTTATAAAGTAGTCTATTCATGATTAATTAACTTTATTTATTTAACCAATATATCAAGACAATATTTACAAGATTATAATATTTATAAGATGTATATATATATATAAACCAAACGCTTTGTTAATTTTCATAATCTTAATGAGCGTTAAAACAACTTTTAATGTTTCGAAAAATTGTACATAATTGCCTATCCATATTACTAAGAATATTTTTAGGCTGTTATTTCATTGAAATTTACTAAGCAATTAATTATCAAAATATTCCAATAAATTTGTTTTTTCGAATAAAATGAATGGCTATATGATATTTTTTGATGATTATAGTATGAAAAATCTCATAAATCAAATTAATTCTTCTTTCTGAGAAACATTTTTGGTCAGAAATGGTGATTTGCTAGTTTTTAATTGATTTTATTCAAATTTTTTATGAAGTGGATACAATTAACTAGTTACTAAAACTCTTGTATTCAGTTAATGAGCTAAAACCGTTAAAAAAACAATTTTAAATAATACTTTTTATCGGTACAATATGTAACTTAGTCAATAAGTTCTTTTCATTATGCAACAAGATAATTTGATGTAACTTCAAAGTTTTTGACAAGTATAATTTACTTAAGACATTTACGTTGCACACATTAGCCCGGGGGCATCGATGTGTTATCTTGGCAATATAACGACCATGAGAAATCGAAATATTCCAAATAATGTAATTTTTAATTTATTTTATTGATTACGATATAAAAATAAGACTTCAATAATAATAGTGTTATGCTTTAAAGTACAAATTATCTTTTTCGAATAGATTATACAAAAATAAACTTTAGTTTTATAATTAAGTTATTCATCAAATATATTTTATTGGTCAAATTCATGCATAGTTCATATTATTAATATTTTCTTCGGTTACATGAAAGTCTATGCACAATTAATCATAATAAAAGAATCATTATTCTAAAATGTATACGTAACAAAGGGAGATCGATCTGATAATAGTTATTTTTCTACTGAATAATTTATTCAAATGAAATTATGTTTATTTTGGAGTGTTTCCAGACGTATGCAACACAAACGCCAATGATTTTTTTTATTAGTAGAGATTTAATTACACTTACTACTAGCTAAGTGTATCAATTTATTAGAGTCTAAAAAAAAGTATTTCTTGAATAGATTGTCATTACTACTTAGAACGTACTCTGATATAGTAAATTATATGATATCAAACCGACAATTTTTTATTAAATTGTAAACGCTAATCCGTCAAGGCAACCTTGGGTAACGCCTTATTAAAAAAACGAGTTTACTCTAAAAAAATAAAAATTTTCGCACCGCTTATTAATTATTTTTAAATTATACTGGATAAAATTCAACATTTCCATATGAACGGTTTTCATTAGAACGCTAATATTGGTTTATGTCAACTATTGTAAAATATTTGTGGAGTAGTTAAAATAAACTACTTGACAATTATTTGACTTAAAATTTAAAGCGTCTGTACTATATTTACACACACCTACGCGTTCGTACTCGTGACATTGATCGTGTAAACATTTTTTGAAACTGTTCGTTAGTTCTTGATAAGACTACAAGTTGAACGTGGGACAATAAGGAAATCATATACATATGTGTAATGCTTAATGATTTTTTTAAGAAAAACCTTGTGGTATCATAAATGGCAATCGGAACGCACAAAAAAACATTAGAAACGCTTGAAATTGTTCTAAAAAAGAGGGAGTGATAACGTGAAAAATGTTTGATACTCGACAAACGTTTCCAATTATTATACTGGCGTACATAATTATTACTTTGTAAAACTTAATTTGGATCACTGTAAATACTAAGCGTTATGCAATCCTACGCAGAAGTTCCAATTTCAGTGTAACATAACAGCTATAATACTTATTCATTTGAAAGCCAGAGTCTATAAAGTAACTAACTATGGTAACATAAAAATGTACTTTCTAAATCGTGCTTGACCACTTGGCGAACAGTAGGTTTTAACAGTCGTTTAGCCAATAGTTGGTTTTTTTTTCTCCAAAACTGCATTGTATTTATTTCAATAAATGCTATTTTTTTATATAGAATCATTACAGAACTTAATTGTATACGATTTTTTCAGAATGACGTGGCTGAGAAGCGACGGAGGGCCCGTGTTTTACGGTTACAGCAACCGCACATCTGTCACGGGCGACGTGCAAATCATAACCACCTGTTTGGTGTTCGGCACGATTTTCGCCGCTTTCCTCATCATTTTCCCGGGAGTCCGAAAGGAAGTGAGTATGCATTTAGTGTTAACGTCGTCGCGTGTACGACCGGGTGATTTCGTGCAACAACTATTCAAATGTTGCTCAAATGCTCTGTCCGTTGCATCACAAAAGTAGTAGTAGCTCGTAATCAATAAGCTGATCCGTGTAGAATAAAACGCACGTGAACGTTTTAATAACACACAACCATGATACATTCATCCTTGACAATCGACCGATTCGTTTCAACTTGCAAGTGTATTAATCGATTAAGATTTTTTAAAACGAATCTGACGCCGCCGTAATAACGGGCAGAGTCGCGTAGGTCTTCCGGGAACGAAAGTTTCATAATTAACGGCAACCTTGCCGCGAACGGCATCACCGCAGTAATGGATTTTATTTTATTGTTTTTCAGAGGTTCACCACCTTCATGACTGTCACCTTGAGTCTGTTCGTCGGCAATGCTATAATGGGTGAGTGTAGACTATAAATACCTTTGAGTTCATTGTTTGTCTGCAAAGTACTGCGAATAGTGCGCCGTTAGTCGATGCAAACCATTGATTGGCTATAAGAGGTAAAACAATGACTAGCCAAAGTACAACAGCCAAATATAACTCAGTACCGGTATCCCAAAAATGTTTTGGGCGGAACGATTGCTTTGGCGCAATCCAAACGTTCAACTACATTAGTTTTGTCAAGGTCATTTTTGATCAGAATTAACAACATCACAGATAAAAGTCCGAACAGCTAATCCGATTTTTTACATATTTTGTTTTATAATAAGCAATTATAACATCTGGATTTACATTTTTAATCACCGTGTAACAAGTAATATTATGGTGTACGAATTGAGCTGATGTTTTTATATCGATCTTTGCAAATAGTTTTAGTGGTTCTTAATGTATGAATAACTTAAAAATTCTGTACCTCATTAGGAGCCTTCTCGATTAGCTTATATCTTACACTTTTAAGTACATTGACATCAGTTTTCAAAAAACAACCACAATCCTTAATAGTATCATATAATATACCCAAATATTTATAACCCGTTTCTAGTTAATTACGCCCACCGAGATTTATTTTTGGTTCACCTGACCAATCCAAGCCTCCTATAAGTTGTATAAATTTTAAATACTTTTAAATTTTTCAGTTTAAAATTATTAACTTGTTTAAATTCGGATGATTTGAAATGTAAACTAACATCAATAAAATACTTTTAAAATTATTATTATTATTTGATAATTTACCATAAACAGTTTTAACGATTTAGATCATTTCCTTTGCATGTGTGTGTACTGAATCCTGAAATGTTAGGTATGAGTCATTTAAATATTTGTATGTACGTTATTATTTAGGTAAAATATCATCCTCGTAGTTAAGATACCATAAAAAAGATTATCAACCTGTAATTATTTTCCTATAATAGAAATAGTTAGCTGGTTTCAGTTTTACGCGATCAATTGCAATAGAATTTATAATATTTCTCGGCCATGAAATCGATCGTTATTCAACCTTGTTATAAACGTTAACAGATTTCTTCATGAGTCTGAATAAAAATTATGAACATCTTTGAGAGTATAAAATTATCGAGCCATGTTAATACTTTAAATATAGAGCACTGATAACTAAGATTTTTCCTAAAATAATTCATATAAAACATTGGATGATTCATTTTAATTGGGGTTAATTAGTTAATATATAAATAAATATATTTTTTTTTAACAATCAAGTAGAATTAAATATATATTTTATTAATTGGAACAGCGTTAAACAATTCAATGGCGGCGTCGTTTTTAAATTTAGTTTGTCTTCAGTCTTTCGATGACAGTGACACGGATAGCGGTTGAAAACAATCGGAATCTATTTCTAGTTTAGTATAACAACAAAATGATCTTGAAATTTGCCGCATTAATGGAAGGAGTGGTTCGTGCACTTCAGTTACTACCGTGTCTTCGGGCAATAATCATTCATCCATTTACCAACAAAGTACTCGAAATACCGCACTTATAAATTATTAGATTGGCAACGGAAAGTCAAGGAGATCGTCGCGGAGTTCGGTTACCTTGACAGTCGGATGCATTAGTAGTCTTATAGTAAAACACTACTTCCTATAGTTCATAATTAAACATGTGTATGCGTACGAGTTGATACATTAATAGACTCAAGTTATAACAATAAAAACATGTTCTCGCCAACATTGTTCACACGCCGAATCTGAGTTAACCTTGTTAAAATAATGTACATCATGTCGCGCAACTAATTCGACCTTTTCAAACATAAGCAACATTAATCATTTGAGACGTTTAAACACAAAATGTATCTTAATCGAATAATTGTACATCAAAAAGATAATTCGCTCTCACTAAAAATGTGCTTCCATATAAAAATAAATGTTTATGTTTTGACTTCTATCAGTCGGTTTTAAAAATGCAATGTTGTTCAATAAAATATTCTTTTAACACAGTGTAAGTTCTGCATAAATTAAACCCTTTACTCAGGATTTTTTATCAGACCCATGAAATACTGTAGTCGGAGTTTATTTTTCATTTCGTATTATTTCAATAATAATCTAAGGGATGTAGGCTTATAAAATAAATATGCGTGGGAGTCATCTTCTTGCTATCATCAAATTAGCCTCTGTCTACGCTACTAAAGTTATATTTGAGATTTTCTACTATATTCATAAAAAAAATCATTTTTTAACTTTAACAATATTTAGAATTGAAATCATATTTTATTCATTGACTCATTTAATGACACCGACAATACTGTGAACTATTTTGTGTAGCATGTCCAAGCACCGCTTAAACAGTCTCGAGTCCAAATGAATACGAGTCGATATATTTTAGTTTCAATAAAAAATATTCATTTATATATTTCAGATTTATTAGAAAATCAAATTTTCGCATTAATTTCTTAATTTTTTCTTTTAATTTTCGACCTCTTTACAAATGCAGTGTGGTAACGTTTGTTCAAAGCGGTAATAGCTTATTAGTAAAATGTTACAAATAGTGTATATGTATTGCGTGTTTTTGGCTACGAGTGACGAGTACGATCATTATGACACTGTGACCTTTAACGATTCACTTCGCTTCGTATTTTTAAGATTTACACTAAATAATGAAAAACCATGTTATACATTAACTAGTTTTGTTATTCACAACGTGTGTAGTTATTTAGCTCGGTTCATTAGCCATTTGGCCTAGTGCTAATAATTCTTAGGCTATTCATTTGTCAAATCATTATAATACAAATTACGATTTTCTACTGTCATATATTGTCCAACTCGTCCTTCACGTTAAAGGTGCAATCGCTGACTTAACAAATATGGATCAGATTTATTTATATTATGTCGAAAATGATATGAATTTGAAAAGTTATACACCACATCACGATATAAAAATGATTCTATAAAATCTGTATCACCTTCAAAACGAATATTACATTTATCTGGCTCGAAGGTCTACGAAGAATTTAAACTTCTACGTGTTTACATTTATAGGAGAAAAATCCAAGAATTTTGGTAATTATACCGTAGTTGATAATTGGAGCACAACGAAATGTTAATATGATGTGTTTACTCATCGATAAAAACTGTTATAAACAAAATTATTTCGTTAGTTTTGTCAACGTTTTGTTAAATGATCTATTTACTCGAATTATTTCAAAAACTAAAATAAAGTTCAATAAACTAAAAGTATTGTTTATAGTAATTGAGGAGTTTATTTCGTACAGAATGTAAAGTAAGAAATAGCAATATAACTTTTAGTAAAGGAACTATTCTTATTGGAGATAGAAGCAGTCTAGTTAACCGGTGTATGTATAATTGTCGTCGAGAGTAAAGCAAAAGGGAACTTAAAATACTATAATTTTACAATAAAAAATACAAATCTTTTAAAGCCAATAACGTTTTAACGGTCTAGGCATATAGACCGTATTTAGACTATTACAAAATACATGAACTAACTGATGAATAACCATTTTACAATGAAACTTGATATCTTTTTACATTCATCCAGAGGCAACGTTTCATATCTTAATTGCCTATTACAAAATATCGCGTAACATATTTATTGGATAATTTGACTTCCGAGAAAATACAAATTCTATCTCTTAATAACAGTTTGTAATAGACCTTAGTTCGTTAAACGTTTTTTATTACAGGCAATACAGCTTTCGGGCACACAACAGTGTCGCGAAACCGTTCGAGGTTAGCTTTCGCTAATGCCTATATATATTTGATATTGTATGTTAAACAAAAACATTCTACCCAATAAATAAAGAAGTGGCGCAATTCTTGTGAAACATCGCAATGACTTTACGATTAATTGTTCAAGAAAATAATGTACAGAGATTAAATGACTATGACAAACTGTATAATTAATAAAATCTGCAAGGTCCGAATAACTTAACCCTTGAAAATGATCTTATTTCTGAAGTTTTTTGGTAATAAAATTCGGCAACAGGTATATACAGCGATGAAGTAATGCAAACATATTTATGCGTTTATTCTAAAATCAAAATAAATTCATCAACATTATATGAGTATTAATGGTATTTATGGTCATCAATGAAAAAAATGCAATCATAGATACATGTATGTGTAATTATGTGAGCTCTTGTGAAACCATTTCGCCCGTGCTGATTACTGCGAACAATAGCTTGCTGCTTTTTGTATGTACGAATGCTGTACATGATTGTTTTTCTCCCGATTGATCCTCAAGGATACAACATGATAATTTCAAGGATCGACAGTGTTAACTATTCTGTTAAGTATTTTAAGGTTTTAGTGAAAAGCGACGAGGTAATAATGGTGATTAATGTCAAATAAACGATAAAAAAAAGGTGAAAAATCTCGCATCGTGTTGCGTANAACTATTCTGTTAAGTATTTTAAGGTTTTAGTGAAAAGCGACGAGGTAATAATGGTGATTAATGTCAAATAAACGATAAAAAAGGTGAAAAATCTCGCACTCAATTACTCTAAATCATTTCCATGTATGTCAGACCTTACGACCAAACATGTTCGTTTTATCAATTCGGGAAATCCACAGTGCTTCTTGGATGACGACCTTTCAATACTCCACACACATAGGCTAACAAATGTCATACTTTTGTACATTAAGACATTATCATAACGAATTGCATTATCTTCTTCTATGAATTCACCAATGATTGCTGAAATCGACGTGCATGGCTATTGACTATATTCAGTCGAAGATAATAAAACAAGTAATTCCGTAAACGCCCCGAGGGTCCATCGTCAATTGTCCGCCATCGCTGCGTGGGGGCAGCGACCGTTTTGTCACGACCAACCTAAGCAATTTGCGGTGGAGATAATGTTTTCGCAACAACAGAGATCAGAACCCATTAAACCTATGGGGTCTTCTTTTGTTTTCATCTTCATTTCGAAACAAAAATCGTAGTATTCACATAATGATTTTTTTTTCAAAAAGTAGCCGTAATGAAATTATGATGATGTATAAATATCACTTACAACCGCCATCAAAGCGTTGTTTGAAGAAAAAATACTTTAAAGCGTTTACTTTGTGTTCAACAAATTATAAAAGTTGAGAATTTTCAAATAACCCTATTACAATACAACATCACAAGAAGAATTGTCTAGCTATGAAATTAAAGAGCAACCGCGACATACATTTGTATTTTAAAATCAAATAACTTCCTATTCTAAATGGTAGACATTTTGAGCTGATAATACGTGATAATGGTATGATTTTGTCTTGATATTCCATTGATGCATTAACTTCAAACACGTAAATGTGACACCCACGTTTAATAACTTCTACATCCGTCCTTAAATGGACATTTATCCTTGCAATGTCTCTTATGGCTGAACAAAAATAATTCTAGAAGTTAAAAAAATAACAGTACACTTGTTAAAATTATTTTATGTAAAATAAACGCATAATTATTCACATGTCATAAATTATACTTTAAGAAGCGCCCTTCGCAATTTTCTAACGTCATTTACGCTTGCGATTTTTCAATTCTGTTTACTTCGATGATTTATTTGTTTAATCAATAACCTTATACTAAAGATTTAATAACAGATAAACTAATAAATAATTTTTAAAGAATAATTTTAACGCCAGAAATTCCTTAAAGCTTTCTACCTGAGAGTTTCAGTACTCGAGTTTTGACTTCTGTGTTATTGTATACTGTCTTAATATAAGTCATATTACACTATGACGGTTAACCGGAGCTCAGGTGTGGGAGTTTAATCATTCGCGACAGGACTTACCAGTCAATGCATTTTATACCATATATTTTAAGAAGTTATTTTTAAACAACCCTTGATGCATTTGCATATTAATTATAAAATCGACTAAATAGAAGTAAATAGCACGATACCATTGCACTTAAATTAAAACAATGAAGCTATCTATATCCCAATACGGGTCCTTTTTCAAGTATTTACTGAAATAATGAAAGATTTTAATTGATTGTCGTCATACAATAGGTAATTACTTGATACTACAATGTTTAAATTTAGATATTTAATATTTTAGTATTCAAATACAATATTGAAATATATTTAGGAATGAAACATTTCCTGTACAAATTTTATCAAAAATTTCATTATTGAGTTATCAAGTTTCAATCAACTAAAAGAAAAGACATTTCATAATACGTCAGCCTGCTTAATCAACTCGAACTAACTCAAAAATATTTCACTCCTGCTCTTCAACTAATAGTTTTGTTTAAAGACAAAGACAAAGATTTTAGTTTTATTTTTATTTTTTCACTAGTGTTACACTCTTGTTATTTTATCACGTTATGTTAGCATATTTTTGTCTTTTCTATTACATGACATGCAGTAAATATATAATAATGTATCTAATAAGTGTTACTATTTAATAAACGGTTTAAAAATAACTAGTTATTATTCTTTAAATCAGTCAATACGCTGCGAGACTAAGTTTTTTTTTACTGATTACATGTAATTCAATTTTCTTTGGGAATATTACAAAATAATAATAATAATAGAAAATCGTATTCTTTCTTCGAACTAAATAAACTGCTTTATAAAAGCAATCATAACTAAATGTTTCATTCATATTATATATTAAATAATGAGGTAAAATAATTACCCTTGATTACCTCTTACATTTTTTAATAGAATAACAACAATTAAATTTAAATTTAATACTTCGTGCATGATTTAATGTAAATATCTAAATAATTACTATGAAATTTTATATAGATGAAATCTATTGTTATGTTCATGTTGATTAAATTATTAAATGATAATTCGTACCATCAAATGTGCCAACTTGAGCGATGTTAAAACTTAAGGTAGTTAAATATTTTACAGATTTCATCACTTAATTTTTATAAACAAATATTTTTTGTTTTGTAACAATACATGTAAACTTTTTACTAATACTGCAGATTAATACGACTAAAGTGATAATAGATATTTAACTGACCCAAATTGTCCCATTTGACGGTATACTAAAAATTATTTTATTATTGTGATATAGTATAAAAAATGTACGTTATCTCAAAGTTAAAATAAATATACATTTTTTTTAATTGTTAAATTTCTGATGGATATATTATATACTATATTTCATAACATTATTAGAAAATCAAATAATTATAATACGCTTTTTCTTGAATGATTTCGACTGAAAGAGTTAACGTCTCTAGAACAAGAACGTTTGTTATTCAAGTTAATTATTACCAACTATATCTATTTCTAAATGATGTCCTTACTCTTAGAAACTTTACTATCTTACAAAAAATGGAATAATTTATATTTGTAAATAAATTATCAAATAATTTATTATTACCCATCAATACACATGTATCATCTGTAAGCTTATTGCAGTACATTTTAAATTTTACCCAAAAATAATTTTATTTAATAATTTTGCAATAGTATATTATATTGATAAAAAAATTCAAATAATTGATTAGATATGGATGTATAACCTTAGAAAATATTAACCTAAGAAATTACTTAAAATTTTAACAGTATTCTATTATTATATTTGACTATGGTGACTAAATAAAATCTATATATGGATGAAAAATCGATAATAATGCGTATCGTTCCTACATTAGAAAAATGTTTAAAATTGGGGTTTTCCATAGTATTTATAAGTATAAAAAGGAGAGGACTGCTATTTTTTATACATATAAGAATGCCATTAAGTGTGAACAAAATCGGAACAATTAATTAGGTTAAATGATGATTCCAGGGGCGTGACAAGGTCTGTCAGAAAACTATCATTTCTAGTGCCTTTACGGTTCAGCAATTTTGTAACCTACAAATTATTAAAACGCACTTTCGCTTTTTCGAGGTCTCCCGGAAAAACAATTGTATAACACTAAAATCATCATTTTTGACTTTACTGAACAAAAAAAAAATAATTTAAAGTTTTCTTTTTCTTTTTCAGTATCTATTTTAGGATCCAGTTGGCATGTAGCTAGAACAGTGATCACTAGTACATACAGAGCCTTATCCAAGGAACTAATTACTGCCGAACTAGGCGCTTATGTTGGACTGAGTCATATTAACATAACACTTAGCGGTACATACTTTATGTTTTATTAGATAATTAAGTTTTTTTTAATTTTTTTTTATCGCTTAATCAGCCCATTAAGGACCATAGCAGCCTCCCCCAAAAGAGAAGGTTTCTTAAACATTTATATTCCGTGACGGGTGGTTATTCCATCGCCGGAGAGAGGGATGGTAACTCCAATTACCAAACTGATCTCTCGTTCGGCAAATGAAGCCGCATGTGTCCGAGTTTCGAACTCGAGGCAGTGCGCGTTAAACACTGCCGCGTTACCAACTCGGCTTCACCGTCCCTCAAGATAATTAAATCTATTTGTAATAAATAATTAATTTAATTAACAACTGTTAAATAAACAATAATAATTATTCAATAAATGTTATTAAATTATATATTTTTTGTAGCACTTCCGAGCGATAATACTTTCGTTCCAATAGAAGATATCAATTTCAATGAACGTTTTTCGTGGTTAGGAGCTCATGAAATGGGCGAGAGTTATCAAGCAGCATTGTATCGAGGTCTTCCTTTCCCCATATTGACCGTTGCTGAATACTTTAGTCTTGGTCAAGAAGGTTTTGCCTGGGGAGGACAGTACAGAGCTGCTGGCTACTATGGAACCATATTCTTATGGTAACATATAATAAGATATCTCGCAAACAAAAACTAATATATTTTCTTGGATGTTACAGGACGGCTTTCGTGTTATGGTTCTTAATGAACGTTCTTCTAGTGGTAGTCCCTCGATATGGGGCTTACACTATGATAGCCACTGGTAGTTTTATGGTTGCTGCAGCAGTTGCTTACCATTGCATGCTTCCGTGGGTTCCACTAGTCATACGTTTTCAAGATGATACGTTTTTAATTTTTAAATTAGGCTGGTGTTTTTGGTTGACTTTGTTAACAGGTATAATACATTAAAAACAGTTTCTTAACTTAATAAATCTTCCGTAACGATCCATTTTTGTTATAGGTCTACTATGCATAGGCATTGGACTGATAATTGTGGCGGTGGATTGTGTTTATCCACACAAGTTCTCAACTATACTAGAAGTTGACTTTGACACGCCCTACGATCGACATATCATAATTGAAGATAGTAGTACTCGAAAAAAACGAGTGGGTAAAAGTTTAGAAGAACCTGAGGGACTAGGTCGCAGAATCTTAAGGTTAAAAAAAATCTTCTGCAATATCAACTACTTATTAAAGCTTCATCAATTTTGAAATACTTTTATATTTTTTTTAGACGCTTATCATCCAAAAAAGACGATGAGACCAATGGTCCTCCTAAACTTTCTGGTATGGAAAATCGAGGATTCGAGCTGGACCCACCACCACCAAATTCTCCATGGAGATTTCCATACAACAGACCGGCTTTGCAAGGTGTCAAGTTCAATCGCAGTATGTCACAAGACTCCATAACTAGCCAAGTTTCCAATTTAGCAGTATCATTTAATAATCGTGACAAAAGTCGATTATCGATACTGAAAAATTCATCGTCTTCTATAAGGTAAACTTCAATATTAAATGATAAAAAATTTGCATTAGTTAAATACCGCTACTTTTTTGTTTGTTTATAACTTGTTCGGATGAATAGACCTATGTCCAGTAATCCACAACAAGCAACAACTGTTGTTGACAGAGCAAAAGAAGTGTCGATGTGGTGAACACAATAATCCGAGTAAAATATGAAGTGCCACGCAAATTGATTTGTGAAAACTCAACTCAAGTCTGAACATAGACATAGATATAATATATAAATATATATATTTGTATAATAATAATTAGTATTAACGATGAAAGTCATATCATAAATTATACGCAACACGACAATTTTAGATATTAATACGTTTCTTTAAATATTACTAATTATGTAATCAGGTTTCTGTGATAAAAAACCGGATTACAAAAAAAATTAATACAATTTCAAATATGTATTTCATATTTATTAAGATCAAAATATAAATAAAATAAATGTAGAGAAATAAGCCAAGGTAATGCCAATTAGATGTGGATAATTTTTTTATTATACTTAGGTACTAGTGTTTATTTGTTACCTAAACCTATTTATTTATTATTAGTATTAAGTAAATTTTTTATAAATTGAATGTTTGCAATTACTATAATTGTGATATAATATTTGCTTTTTGAATCAAAATAAAATAAAAAAAATATATTTCATAATAAATTGTTTTATAAAATATCATTATAGATTTATCATAAGAATTCGATTCGCTGAGATATCAGCCTTCAAAAACTATTTCATAGCTTTATGATATAATTTACTCCAGTGATTATCTTAAAACTTAGTTTGATCGATGTACAATATTTGTCAGAATTTGTGTTTAAGTATTCATAGGATTTTTAGTTATTGACTTAATTGAGACATTAGCGTTTTCAGAAATAAATGAATAGTTATCAGGTAAATGTTCCAAGATAGTTCAATTTATGCTTTACACACTTTTTAAATAAAATCAAAACACTCATATTTAATACTTTTTGTATAAAAAAAATTATTTTTAATGTAATATTTGACCAACAATTATGTTTTTATTATAACAATAAAAAATGCAATTTTTAAAAGGCAATACAAAAATTGTATAGGATATTGTGGGCAACGACCAAGTTTCTACTTTAGTATATACAGGTAATCAGTAAGTAAGGAAAAAGTTCATTGTTACTAACAACGAGAATAGAAACGCGATTCTTTACTTATCGAATACTCATATATATAGAGTGATCTTTTTATCATAACCCACTCAATTACTTGCAGAATATACATATATATAATTTAAACATATTTTTTTGGTTTTCTTTAGTTACACATTATTTTTGAATTATTAGCTTTGTACTGCTTTTTAAGATTATCCCCCTTATGCCTTGTAAAAGTGATAACTTTACTTTTTCAAATAGGAACAAATATTTTGAATTTTTAATATAACTATTTGTTTATTAGATATAACATTTTTAAGTTTCAAATTTTGAGTTAATATACATGTATAATACATACAATACAAGTTGACACCCTTACAAGGTATAAGGGATGAACTTAAAAAGTATTACATAGTTAATAATTCAAGAATAATGTATAACTAAAGATAACAAAAAAAAAAAAATGTTTAAATTATATATATTCTGCAAGTAATTGAGTGGGTTATGATAAAAAAAATCATCCTGTATTATATGTCTATGATGTCCAATTGAAATGTCTTGCAATAACTCATATATTTATTAATTATAATATTTTTATTGTGTATACTCCAGTTCCCTGCAGTAAACTAATACATTAAATATATTAATATTCAAAATGTTTAAATATTTTTAATAAATAAAAAATAAAATTTTTTATATATTTAAAATATAGTGAAAATGAATATCAAAATTAATAAAAAAAAAAAATATATTAGCAAAAAAATTTTTATTTATATTTTTAATTGTCTAATGCTATAACTTTTTAAAAAATAACCCCACTGTGCTGGGTTTTTTTTTTAATAAAACCATTTCTCTTTATATATTAATATATTATAAATATATATATATTTATTATATATGTATATGTATTCAAAAATGTATGGATCATTATATATTTTTTAAGATAAGTACTATTTATATTTATATATTATTAATATATATATATTTATTTATTGAATCATATATTACACTTATAAATCATAAAACTTGTAATCAGAATATTAAAAAAAGGAAATAGGAGATCATGTAGCTTTTGGAATAAGCCACCAATTTTTTAAAATTAAACACTATTTACAGATTTGCATGTAAGTGTTTTTTATGATAGTGATTTTAATCACTGTCAGATATCATCTATACTTAACCCAACTATGCCACGTCCCTACTGTGCTGGGTTTTTCTTTTTAATCGACTCCCTATATTTCCACTTTATATGCTGTATCAGCATTAATCAAAGGAGTACACTTAATTTACATGAATGACACATATAAAATTCTTTTTATATACATTCTACTTAACCCCTTTCTTTAGCAACTTATGTCTCTGTTTGCACAGGTGATATTTAAGGGAGTAAATGAATAATAATTATGTTGATACTATTTTTTAGTATTTATTTCGAGACTTCTTTTAAAAGGTTTATATATGTAATATAAAACATTCTACTTGATCAGAAATAATTTTAACTTAACAATCAGATCAACCTTGCACAAAGAAAAAAAGTATTATTAGAATAACCATATATATAGTTAATATAGTGATAACTGCAATTAAGACAGTTGGAATAAATGAATATTAATTTAACCAAACTCTTTATTTAGTTATTTTAACGGTTTTTAATATTAACCATTGGTTTTTTTTTTTTATAAAAATATTTATTAAATTATATCAGACTTCAATAATAATTAAAAATAACATTTTATCAATATTTATTTATCAACATCCATTGATCTTGTATCTTCATCAGAAGAGAATAAATTGTCATCATCTTCATCTTCTTCATTCTCGAGGTTTAGAGATAAGTACTCGTTTAATTTTGTATGAATTTCTAGTTCCATGTTAGGTGAAATTAAATCTAAAATATTATACTTAAAAATGAGAGCCATATTTATAATTAATTAGTATAAGCTATCTTAATAATATGTTAAGTAAATTTTATTAATAAAAATTAACTATGAATATGACCCTTAGTTTTCTAATTTTAAACTAATGCACTCAAATTATTTTATTTGGAAATTATATAGCTATATTATTTGTATCGTATATATATTAATTAGGACGATAAAATAATATTAAATTATTTTATATTAAGGTTTAAATTCATTTCTTTGTTATTATTTTGTAAAAGTTATAAGCATTAAATTAAAAATTGTAATTTAACTATTTATGTCCTTGTTAAAATTAAAACAATTTTTTTAATATTAAATTTAAATTATAAGTTCTAAAGTTAGAAATTTTAAGTATAACAAAATTACAAACAACAACAGCAGCTTAAACATAATAAAAAAAAAAATAACATACAAATTAAGCGACTCTGGAATTATCGCAAATTTTCACTTACATATTTACAATTACAAAGGCCTACAATGATATTTTTTTGTTTTTGAAATAAAAGATTTCTTATAAAGAATAATATAATTCATTTAATTTACAAATTATTGTGCTGTCTGCATATTATATTTTATAATATCTTGAAAAATTATATCTTACAAATTTATCTAGTAGAAAATTTTCAAGTGAGTAAGTATGTAAGTAATGATTAAAGAATTCAATTAGTACTTAAAACTTACCACGAGCTTTAAGAGCTACATCTTGATACAGTTGTTCAAATTTTATAGCATTTATAAATTGTCCACCAGCTAAACGTTCTTTGACAGAGTTTTTGATAATTTCATTGAGATTTTCACTCCAGCCAGATTCTATTAATCTCATACGTAAATGATCTTTTACGCTACATGTAAGAAAAATAGTAAATAAATAGACATTTAACCATATAAAAATGTAATTGGCAATACTTAATGAAACTAACTTACAGTTTTTCATAATCAGTAGACATAATGAAGGATAAAACGTGATATAAGAACTAGAAGTCATAAAATTAAAATGTAGTTAAATGATAATAAATATGTATTTTTACGCTATTGTTTAGATAAGTTCCATACATTTTTTTTAGTAATGACGACAATAATTAATGTAAATCATATAAATGTTATCAAAAAAAAAACATTTATTATCAGTAATAGATAATATACACAGATAACTATCAGAAGTGAAATTTGAGGCACGTCAAAAAATACAACCGCCATATCTTAAATTAGCAGTTATACTAGAAAATAGATATTGTTTAATTGTTAAGTTTTATGTGGTTTGTGGGTTTATAGTAAAATATTAATTAATGTAGATTTTGTAAGATATAAGGTTGATAATTAAAAATTAAATAATAAAAGTATTATCAGTATTACAAAATATAAAGTTTTTTCACTAAATGACAGTACGTTTAATTTCAAAAAATGTCTGACGTACTTTTTCCATCCTCCAGAGGAAGAATTTTAATTCAAATTACTTTCCTTTCTCGCTGTTCTGTTATATATAATCTGTCTACATGATTATGATAACTCATGTGTTATCACAAATCACATTCAGCTGTTCTGTTTAATTCACCAAAATAACATGACAAATATTATGGATAAAAGTATACGTGATTGACATAGCCGACTAAGATTGACGACAGGTCATTGAAAGTTTACTGAAAATCATATAAAGAGAGATACAATATAGAATTAGAATCCTCGATCTAAGGTGTACTAGAGAAACCTTACTATTAGCCTACCATATATGATTCAGATCCCGAAACACTTCCATATTGGTTGATAACGTAATTTTATTTTATTTTTATTAATGTGATGTGATGTAGGACTTTGCGAAACACAGTGCGGTATCATGTTTAATGTTATTATAATAACAAAAAAAAAAAACGACATAATAAAAATATTGATAATTTTTAAGAGAAAAACAAATTTTAGTTGTTTGACAATTATAAAAAACGAGAAGCATATAGTTATATTTGATTATACAAATAAAAAAATTATAACAATAGCAACATCGAAAAATTTAACTATGAAAATTTAGTACTTTCACAAACGATTTATTTAATTAAAAATGTTGTAGTATAATTAACAAAACAAAATAAATGCCTATGTTTCCCATCACCAATTTCAAGGACATGAAATGTTGGGCTACTCTAAAAAATATTAAGTGATCTATATTATGAATACTTAATTTATAAAAATAATTTTCTATATTGATAGTTTAATTTTACAAAACATATTTGACAAAATACATCTTCATCTACAAAATTTTTTTGTAAAATTAAACTCTACAAGTACTATTCTGTATTGGAAGCATTGGCATAATAAAAGTTTCGCCTTGGGGAAATATGACACCTATACCCTTATAATTATACCAGTGATTGTTAATAATTAAGCTAGATTCTTATCTCCTTAAATTTTTTTTTTTTAATAAATAAAAATAAACATTGACAATATTTTTTTAAGAATTTTATTGTTATAAGTTCGTGCGCAACACAAGTCAAAATTTGAATTACTATAATTTTTTAAACATTGTGTTGATATACAATTTAATCAATATCACTTATACCTACAAATTAAGTTAAAGAATTTCTTAACTTCTTTCATCACACTAATGGGCATAAAACAGTAATATACAATTTATAAGTGCGTTTTACTTCTTGCAGTATTATAAGTAGCGAAGGAAATGTAAATCGTAGTAAATAGTAATCGTTTGTATCCACAGAGCTTAATTAAAATAATTATTAAGCGTGAAGAGATTATTTTATCTTGATATTCTAATTACGTTTTTAACCAGATAGTAAAAGATTTTATTAATTAACATTTTAAATAAATTTTTCATAAACCTACATTTATTAAACATTAGTCAATAAAAAAATGATATATTTTAAGGCAGTATAGAAAAACTATTTTGATACCACTGGGTACGTGCCTGAAGCCGCGTACAACAACTAGTATATTCAGGTAACTCTGCGTCGCAAATATCTTCTTATTGTTCAGTCGTAACAAGCCGAACCAATTGTTCGTTACTAGTGATGGGTAGGGCGCAGGAGCGAAAAAATGACGTCATCAAGTTTGTTGACTCGCTCAACACACGATGTTAGAAGCGTGTCTCACTTCCCTTCCACCGTCGAAATCATAACAAAAACAACGGACGATTCGATCCTCCGTCCTCTTTGTGCGCGCCGTCGGTTGTTCATTCGTACGCAAAACTTCGGTGTGTGCGTACGTGCTTATTCAACTGTTAATTTTGGTATCACTGTGAAAATCGATAAAAGTCGTTTCGTTTTTTGTTAGTATTATCAGTAGTGATTCTTTGTGTCTATAAACTCCATCGAAGAAAGTAGTAAGTTCTGTGGAAGTACTTTTTTCTTTTGAGCGTTTTAAACGCTAATCATGACTACTACACCAAAATCTCTCCCAGAAGAATCGCTTGGCGGTAAGTATAAATTTATTACGAATTGTAACCCCCTCGACTATCAATATCTGTATAGTACAGCTGTTTAATGTATACAATGCATACGTGTGCGTATTGACTGTGTTAACTGCACAGTACCTGTTACACAGCGTAATAGGAAATTAAAAGTTGTTTTTCTCATAAGTTGTACCATATATTTGTAATTAAAGAATGGTTTTACGACTATTAATATTATTACTTTATTCGATGATATTGTACGATGTTATAACGCTCTAAATTTCAATTATAATTATAACTAATATAGATCACTTTTTACTGCTAACCATTATTACAAATGGCAGATAAATTATTTTTAATTTTCTTAGTTACAAAATGGCATATACCATATTTTCTATTAGGTACAATAATCAGCTGCCTGTTCCTCCGTTTATAGGGGCCTCAGATTTTTATGTTGAACCTTTTTTTTTCTTGATTTAATGATGTTCAAATAACTTTTAAGTTACATAGACAGGGTCGTCACTAGAGAGTTATGTCACACTCTTCACTTGTCAATGTTTAATTATTTTAGTACGAAAATTTTCAATATAAGGTAATGCTATCACAAAATAATATTTAAAAGAAAGGATACACAATTAAAAAAATAAATAAATTTTATTCTATATATTTTTAGTTTCGGGCTAGCTTGTATATAGCAATCCAGTACTCTATTTTAGTCTAATTAGTTAAAAGTTTAATGTGCTATATAATAATAACAAATTTTCTAAAAATAGATTATTATATTTATAATATTGTGGTACATTAGTAAAAAGGCCTTAAGTTCAAAATTAATCATTTCAAAGATGTTTATACCACAAAAAAGAGTATTTCTTTTTACATGTTATGTATTAACGCAATTTTTGTACTTGTGCCCTGTACCCGGCACCACAGAATAAAGCATCCGTTTGACCGCAAGATATTTACAATTTAAAATTTTTACTATATGTTATGTTTTTGTTTACAATTTGAAACAATCATGATTATATTGTTCGAGTTTATTTTTGTTGTGATTATAGCTTGACAGTTTTTTGACGTAAATAATCATTAAGTATTAGTAATAGTATTTTCTTCTTTTCGTCTATTGTTACCAATTATTGTAGAAATATTTATAGTACCATTATCTTGTCTTTTTACAATTGTTTTATATAATAAATAACTAATGTCATTTTACCTTTGTAATTACTTGAATATTTTTGAAAATTATTATATTCATACTGTAATAGTATATATTAATTAAACACTTCTGAATTGTCGCCCGTGTGTATTAAAGTTAAAGGTCAGTTACCGCGTATGTTCATTTTTAGCTTTCAATTTTATTTTGCACGCGCTTATTCTTCAAGGTCACGTTTCAAACTTCTTTTGCCCGTGTTAACACATATATTAGGTCAAATTATCGTTCATGACAATTCTTTACTAAAAATACAGGTCGTTAACATTTGTTTTATCAATGTACATATACACCAACTTAAAGAAAAATTTTATATAACCAAAATTATATTTTTACTTATTTATTGTGAATTGTATTAATTTGTATTTCAAAATAATTAAAAAATATACATTCTATTTTTCTTATTCAATATAATGTATTTACCAAATATTTAAGAGTAAATTTGCCTCTATCCTTATGCTAATATCTTTGTTTACTGTTTTGCACAAATGCGCAATATTAAATTAGTTTTTTTTTTTGTATAACCTATTAGCTGTTTAGTACACAGTTTCATCATAATATTCGGGTCGTTCCCGTATGTTGATATTTTTGCTATCTCTGTTGTTATTGCTGATTCAGTTGTTGATATATTTATCATCATGCATTCTGAATTAATCTTTTAGTACCTATGTATTTTTTTTCTAGATTTTTTATTATTCCGTTAATGAATTTATACACGCATATAATTGTAAAATTTCACCTCGGTTAGTAAATAAGTTCATGGGCAAATGATCAGTAATTATTATGTTACGTTTTGATATATGTTGTTTGTTGACAATAACGTATTACGATGTGTCCATATTCTAAAGCCAACTTCTTCTTAATAGACAATTTTTTTTTAATTATAAACATTTTAGTCAAACAATAAATATCACTATTTTATTGATATCCGATTGATTGATGAGTTACTTTTTTAATACTTAATTTTTGGTTGCGTATATAGTAATCACAATTCCTTTGTATATTATTATTATTGTAATTGTAATATATTTGTCTTCGAGATTAAATTTAATTGAGCGTCAAGTTTGGTAATTTAAATCCACCATTAAATCAATTTTATTAATTTTGATGTCATTATTATATAGTTATATAAAACGGATTTGACGGCTGAGTTATCTAATTTTTTTTAAATGAATAACTTATTAATAGTCTAACAAATTATTAATACCCATTTTAATTATTCCTAAACATTTTTTAAGTTAATATCAGTATAGATAACGTCTTCGCAGTATGGCTATTTGAAAGCAATCGCAAATACTATTTGATTTAATATATTCTGCCTATTTCTCATTTATTTATCACTTTTTGCTATTCCTTTCATATACATGTATTATGTGATAAGTGACCAACTAACATTCACAATTATTCAGCAATTTCAGTATAATTATATTATTTGAAAGATCGTTCAATAATGATGATTTATTAATAAATATTTTATTGTATAAACTTTATCTCGTACGTCCTTTTAATTGAATGATAACTATTTACAGTTTCAATTGTTTAAATAACCTCTCATACACTTCATTGGAATCATTTTTTTTTATTAAAAACTATTTTAGTATTGTACCGAAGCAATGATGCTTCGGGANTTGGAATCATTTTTTTTTATTAAAAACTATTTTAGTATTGTACCGAAGCAATGATGTATATTTTTACTCGGGAATATGTATCAAGGGAGGGGGGACAAAAGGTGAAACATTTAAAGGGGCGCAAAAGTTTAATTAGAAAAATATATTAAAAATCATAATTTAATAAAAAAAAATCAAACGAAGTATTGTATTATTTAAGGAAAAGTTTTTTATATTTAATTATTAGGGAAAAATATAACTGCGAATCGTCTCACCAAATAGTATTTTCTGTCTAATCTGCCTACCGCCCAACTGCATGGCGTAAAATGTATTGTAGAATATGGGTAACCAACTGCAACAAAAGTAATCATATAACGAAGATACAATTTTTTTTGGAGGGGGAAGTGAAAATTTTTCTTTTGTAGTCGCCAACACAAATCCCAATTACGCTACTGATGAACTATTTGCTATAACCTATTTATTTTTCTTAGTTTTAATATTCTAGATTTATCTTAGTGTATTTCGTATTATTGACTAGTTTGATTTCTTTAGATTTATATTCTTTTGATAGATATTACTATAGAGAAAAATTAGACTACCAGTTGCATAATTTTCTTTTATTCTTATTGCATTGTAACTGAATCACAACACGTAGAACACTATATTCATAATACACCAAAACCGGTTCGCCCACAAATGCAGTTAGCTTATAAATATTTTAGTACACTGAAACATAAAAATAATATTGGTTACATTTCTGATTTTGTTGTTACTGTACCGATAATATCTAAAATTTATGGAGAGTTTAAATTCTAGATAATTATAAAAATGTACGTTTACGTAAAAATTTTGTTTTCATTTTGATGATTTACATTTTTTAGTGTTTTGAATATTCCATCATTACTATTTTAAACTAAATGTAATTTTTTTGCTAAACTAGTCCAATAAATTTTAATAAAAAAAAATGTCCAGCATTACAGATTTAGTCTTTATGCAAGTTAAAAATATTTCAATTGATGACGATTTTTATTGAATGATCTGTTTTCAATTTTTCGATTTGCTTATAAATCATGTCAGGGTATGGCGTTGTTGTTCAATGTCGTCGGTTCTCTCCTTTGTTTAGTATAATCTATGGCTTTCATTCGCTGATCTCGTGCATTTGGTCACGTAGGCTTCGTTTGAAAGTTGTGTGGTTCGCCAGATGGTAATGTGTTGTATATACTCGATTACCGCAGAAATATCAGTGAAAGCGTCATCAACCCCATCACTCGTTCCTACCTACGACTCAATTTTCAACACACCTTATTTAAGAACACAGTTCTTTTTTTATATCTTACTATATGAGACCTACGCTGTTATGAAAATAATTCTGCTGTTACAATAATTACTAAACTATTGAGTATTTCCTTTTTGTATTGGTAATTTTTAAAGTAATTTTCATATGGCCATTGTAACAAAATTGTGCAAACTGTATTATTTGTTTCTAACCCAAGTAATATTAATCAACTATTGATTAAATAAAAAAAAATTCATCGATATTATTATTATTATACTAACTCAAATATCAAAAACGACTTCTATTTAAATAAATAATAAATATATTTAATTTCAGTGGGTTCATTTTAATTATGTTTTAAAGCGTGTTGTTAGTAGGTCTTCTCTGATGCATTATAATGAAATCGTTATTACTTTTATTAATTTAGTTTTATGCTATATTAGGAGGGGTGTATTGTTTATTTTCAATTATAAATAATTGCAAATTCTCTCTAGTATAACATTAGTCGTTAGCTATGCAAATTTTGCTTTCTTATTTCTCTAAACAAACATCCATCTAGTATCTGCGTATTAGGTTTGTAATAAGCGTGGTGTTTAAAATTAGTAATTATTCGTAGATAAATACAATGCTGATAGCTTACATTGGTATAATAACTATTACAACTATTTTTTTTATTGTTTATTAATATTTTAAGTATATATTTTAAACAAATTATATATTCATGAAAATGTTACTGTATCAAATTTCGTTGTTTGTCATTTTGTGAACAGGCTTTTTGATTATTACAATATATTTTTGTAGTAATATTTATTAAAGTTTTTTTAAAATTCGGTTACAAAATTTATGCTTCCAAAATCACGATAAGAATTTTTCTTTTTTTATTATTAAATTAATCTGTAAAATAAAAAGTTTTCGTATAATTTTTTTAAAACAAAAATTAATGCAAATCGCTACAAAATGAATTTTGGATATATTGAGCAATCAAACCAAAATTATTGTTAACATTATCACATCATATAACTAATTGATGTTTTTATACATCTGCAGCAATTTAGAAATTAAAAAAATCATTTGTTACAAATAAAATTAGGAATACTTTTTGAATATATTTAAATAGTATTGAACGTCCAATAATGTATTTAAACTACTTGTACTAAATTACTTAACAAAAGCAGAACCAATACGGCTTAAGGAATAGGATTAGTGACTAAGGGTTTAGCATTCCTCAGCTTACAATTTTAAAAATTGTAAACCGTCAAAAAAATGTACGCCCATGCGAGACTTTTTTGACAAAAATTAACAACAATTATAATAATGCGTCTCTTTGTAGTTCATTTTAATCCAATAGCGATTAATCTAAAAGTGCATATCATGCATATAAGATAATTACTACAATGTATTCGTCGCGTATATAATATAGACAAGAAGAAATTTTTAATTAAAAACGCATTGCTGTTGACTTATCTCATATGTAAATAACGTTTGATAATAAAAATGTTTTTAAGACCATGTCCATGACGTAGACAAATTATTTATAAAACAAAATATATTCGACAAATTAACTCCTATACATTTTTTTAAGTTAGTTTTATTTACAACAATAATTTAATTCATTAAATAATAATATAATACATTTATTTATATGAAACATGCAAAATTGTAATAGTTGATAGCATACAGTTCATGATTTTATATGCTGACTTGTTATTTACTATAACCCACTTTTAAATTCTTCTTGAACTTCATAATTCATAGAAAATAGCTATGTAACCAAAATCCAAGTCCATAAAAATCTGAACCTTTCGCCCCTGAAATAAAAACAAAAATTACTTAATTTCGTACTCCTCATTAGAATAAAATCCTGTAGAAAATACCTGATCCCATAATTCATTTATTTATTTGACGTAGTTGTTATTAAAATTGTCAGTTTTCCAATTGATTTTTATATGTTAAGTTTTCTAAATGGTCTTTTTACAGTGAATCATAGTTTATAAATATATAGCTTTTTACTATATAAAAAATAAAGCAACCTTTGTTTTTATTTACCTTGTTCCTAACCTGTACCGGTAGCAGTCGTAGAATTTTTCAGAGAAACCTTGAATTGTCTACGCGTTATTTTATGGCCAATCAAACTTATGAATAAAAAAGTCCGACTGACTCCAAAGTCTTAATATTCATGGTTCGGGTTATATATTACTATAATAATAACGGACGTCATCTGTTTCATTAAACTGATGCCAAAATTTTGAACTCGTAGGTACAACGCACGTGGTGACTTGGCAACTATATGGTCGATACTTTGCCACTTCAGTTGCATAAACCGGCCCATGTTTATACATTTTATAAATAGGCCATTATTTTGAACAGTGAACCACATGCAACTCTTATTTATATTAACATTGTTATCCCTATATAAAGAAAATAAAATCATATATCATCATTTTTACCTGTTAACAACAATCCCATCCAAATGTTCGTATGCCAAGTGCGCTCATACTTAATTGTGTAGTGAATTTGTTCTGTCTCTCGTATCATATCAACTTATAACATGAAGCAAGCAAGAGACTCAGCATCTAGTTCAGTCAAAAATCGCATCGTCGAAAAACCAAGTAATGAAACATTAGAAAGACTATTATATAATATATTATATTAATCGTGTATATATAAATTATTTAATGACGATGAGCATATTCAATACATTAAGCTTATTCGCTATTCAATGTGTAAAATAGAATTTCAATTCTTAATAGTGTAGAATAACTGACGAGTATCTATTATTAATGATATATTAAAATTAGAGGAAATCTTATATTTATTTATTAAAAAAAACCCAGCACAGGGGGGTCGCGGCACAGTTGTGACGTGGTATAGTTGGATCAAGTATAATGATATCTGACGGTGATTAAAATCACTATCAAAAATAAACGCTTCGATGCAAATCTTTAGATAGTGTTTAATTTTAAAAAAATTGGTGTTTTATTCCAAAAGCTACTTGATCTGCTGGTTCCTTATTAATATCTCGATTAAGATAAAGTATGTCGAATGAAAAAGGGTTTATTAAAAAATATTATTTCTCATAAAAAAATTGTGTGGATCCATAAACTTTTCAATAAGTTATAGCATTATAAAGTTAAATATAATATAAATCATAAAATCGAGAATTTTCACACGAAAATAGCATTCGGTAGCCATTTTCGCCGTGAAGACAAGTCCAGAGGTCAAATTTTTTTTTTTCAAATTAAAGTATATTACATTAGCTTTAATTTAAGATATATATAAAAGTGTCAGACCTTCCGGAACATTTTCAAAAGTTAAGTTGAAAAAGTTAATTTTTTGTGAAAAAGTTGTCATTTTAAATCCCCCCCTGTGGGCAGATTAAGTGTCAGATTTACAAAAAAAATATACCAAATGATAGGTAAAGACATCAAGCATCTATATAAAAAAAAATTATATTGATATGTTCATTTTTGAAAAAGTTACGGCAGTTTTTAGTAAAAAAAATTGAAAAAATTTCGAAAATTAGCGATTTTTAAATTTGTAATTTTTTTGGAGGTTTCCCCCATTTATAGGGAACGAGGGGATTTTTTTCAATTTTGAAGGGTAATGTCTTCGACTAGATACGATTTGTGATCTTTTGACGTATCGTTGAAAGAAATCCGTTCGGTGAGAGCTGAGAAAAAGTGGTAACAGACACAAAAAATAAAAAAATAAAAAAAAAACACATCTTAGTAAAACCAATACCTTCTCAGCTTCGCATCGAAGCTAAAAAATTTGTTGAAAATTAAATATATATAAAATAATATTATTAAAAATATAATCAATCAGAATTTAAATCACTATCTAATAGGTAATACAATAAAGATTTTTTTATTTTAAAAAAATGTTTAATTTTATAGTTATAAAAAAAATTCTTTGTCAATTGTAAACAAATTTTTGTCTTAAATTTATACAAATAATATTATGTAATTCAAAGTTGATGTTTGAAAAGGAAATAGATTAACAAGTTGAAAAATGAATAGATAGAATTCTGTTTAAATGTGATAATCAGTGCGAAAATTCTTATTGTTTCGCGTATATCTTTACGGTAGTTGACCTTTAACTTATTGGCAAAGATACTTCTAATGTCTCTTTGTTTATTTATCTACCTTTTGTTTTATAATGACATTACAGTATATCAAATATTTTATCTATCATTCAATTTTTTTTAATTTACAATCGTACACATGATTCAAATTAATTATTTAAAGTGTTTTTTATAAATGGTTTAATTTAGTAATCTTTTAATTTAATTTCTTTATTTTTATTTCCAATATACATATATTTTATAAAATTATTAATGTATATCATTGTAAGAGAATTAATATCGTACATTTATTTATACCTTGTATATTATTTCCATACTATTCTAGGTGCATTTTTATTTTGCAATTTATTGTTATGTTGTAACACTAAACAACTTTGATTTCTCTACAAATTAAAATAATTCTTATTTTCAGATTTATTTTTAATTTATTCATGAGTTTTGTTTGAATTTTTTTTTTAAACAATTTTAAAATTTTATAGTTTTATACATTGAAATGAAATATTTGTAGTACATCACTATCAAACTAACTGATGAAATATTATTATTATTTTTTTACTCCATTTTCTTAATTTTTTATATACATATTAATTTTTATTCAAATTTTAATTATAATTTACAGTATTACCAAATTTTTCTTAAGGAAATAAATTATTTAAGTGCATTTTAATTTGAAGAGGGGATAACTGTTGTCATTTTCACTCACTTCGTCGTTTTAAGATATAGATAAACGTAGGTAATGATCATGTTGACTAAATTCAAGGACAAATATTCAATTGCAGTAGTTTGTATTTTTCGTTAGGTATTATCAACTATACGAATATTATGTATCATCATTGTGAAGAAATGTATGACCAAGACGCAATTACTAATTATAAGAACAAAGTAGTAGAGGTTTCGTCTGATTGAATTACATCTGAGTGGGTGATAATTGTTTTGTTTGAAATTGATGCGTCTTTTATATTATTTAACGCTGGCAAATTATGAGTACCTTTGTTTGTACACATTTAAAATATTCTACTCTTCCGATATAACACCATACAGCCATCCTTACTACATTTAAAAAAAATCGTGAAAACTATTATGTTAATAAAATCACTTAATAAATGTATCAAAATTTATACCTTTAAATAAAATGTAATTTAATTTCAAGTATTTATTTAAAAATAAATGACTTGAATTTTAATAGTTAGAGGTGAATCAAGTTAGTTTTTTAATTGAAAATAAAAGTGTTATTTTATAATTATTTAAAATTATTTTTAACTTGCAGAATCCTGGGTAGATGTATCTGGCGGATGGGCCTCCCCAATATCATTTCATAGCTCAGAAAGAGTAACTCCGATTCCTTTTATATCATCTGGTGAAGAATATCTTAGACTATTGAAAGAAGCCCAAAGAGAAAGCAATTCTTCATCAAGAGTATTGTCCAAAGAATCTTCGCGAAGAGGAAGGTTAGTTTATAACACTATTCTAAAAGGTATAGCTGTAAGCTGTAAGCTTTTTAATAAAAAAAATTATCTCCATAAGATAACCTTATGTTAAATATATTGATTTTAAAGTGGAGTTCATTGTTATTAATTTATTTAATTATTTTTAGTCCTAAATCGCCACCCAATAGTCCAAATAATGAGCTGGAAGATGATCTCGGTGGTGTGTACATTAACTACTCGAACAAGGTAAGTTTGATTACTTTATTGTTGTTTGGATTTTTAATTTTATGAAATTGAAATATATAAACCTTACCACGAAATGTTAAAAACTTAACATTCTATAATAAAATATCTGCAACTTGTAGTTGCATATCTTTTAATTTACACGTTTTTTTTTTATTTTTTAATGTCCTTAACACAAGTGTATTTTCCTTTGTTAAAATTATATGTATTCTAGTGAATTACTGAAATATATTTTTTTTTTTTTTTTTTTTTTAAGAAAATTAAATGTGACTTTTTGTTAATAATTTTAATTTGTAATACATTAAAATAATTATTCTGATTTTTTTTTTTACATTTACTTGCACTATATTGTTTATTATATTAATTAAAAACAACTTAAAATCTTGTGAATTAAAATTTTATTTATTCAATAATTGGAATATTTCAAAATAAAAGTACAACAGATAAATTTGTAGCAATATTAAAAAATGTATGTTACATACTAATATATTTATTTATATATGTGTTAGGGTGGAGAGCTATATAATTTAGACAAAAGTACTGATTGGATATGGGATTGGAGTAGCCGGCCTGACCAAGCACCCCCAAAGTAATAACTTAAACACATAATACTTGACTAATAAGATTTTTTTTTAATAGACTAAACTGATGGATATTTTACAATTTTATTAGTTAATGGTGATGAATTGCACAAATGTACAATTTTTTATTAAAGATAGATATAAATTTTTGTTTTTAAAATAATGATTATGTGATTATAATAATAAATTTTTAACCTTGGTCATTTTGCATTCAGTTTAACATCTAACTAAAATCAAAAACAAATATTCTTGTCATAAATATTTAATATGATTTAGACTAATTTTCTATATTTACACTGTATGATAACCACCATTATGATCATAATTTGATTAAATGTTTTTATGTTAACTTAAAATAAAATTCAACCCATTTAATTGTTTTTACCCTTCCTGAATAACTTACCAGTATCAAAATGGTTAGTATTTTTATTATATAAAAACATTACATGGTATCAATATAAAGATGTTTTTAAGTTGATTTTTTTTTATTGTTGTAATTTTTTTCTGTGACTGTCTTGTCTTAAGTTTGATCTCTAGATATCCAAAAAACATTTTATACTATTTTCTGTCATTCTTTATTAAAAGTAATAGTTAAATAAAACAAAAATTACCTACTTTATTTGTATAAACATTTAAGTTCCGTTTGCTCACCTTATTCCTAATTACTTGGAGCTGGCCATTTTGTCTTAAACATCCACTTGACAAGATCTCCCACATCATCTACACTCACATTAACCATCTTCATATCTCATTCAATAACATTCCTCCATCTCTTTTGGTCTTCCTCTACCTCTTCTTCCTTCAACATTCATTTCTATAACTGTTCTTACAGCTTCCGATTCCTTTCTCCTCATAACATGACCAATCCATCTAAGTCTATTTTCTCTCATCTTATACACAATAGATACTATTCCTATACTCCCTCTTATATGTTCGTTCCTTATCTTTTTTTTTTTGTCTATTCACTCCATTCACTCATTTCAGCATTCTCATCTCGGCTACACTCATTCTCTGCTCTACTTTCTTATCAATCTCTTAACACTCTGAACCATACATTATAGCTGATCTCACTACAGTTTTATAGAACTTACTTTTTTGTTACATAGGAATTATCTTAATAATGAGACTATTTGTATAAACATTATAGTTAATGTTTTAAATAATCAAACAAAACTTATTTATTTTATGATTTATAGAAATTGGAAATTTATTCATCCTAAAAGGAAAACATTTAGTATGCGCAATGCAAAGGTTGGAAAGGACAGACTATTTTCTAAAGAAGTTTTATATACTTTATTTCTGACAAATATCCTCTCCATGATTTTAGGAGCTGGTGTTGGGTATGATAGATTTCTTATTAAAATTATTTATTTTTAATTGTAATTTTTTTTATATTGCTTTCAGGGCATGGCTGTATAAAAGAGGTGGCATCATGATGTCTAGAGTAACTTTGGATTAATTGTGTTACTATATAATCTAAATAAATACATTTTTTAAAAATCAGTCAATTTATTTTTGAATCTGATAATTAAATCAGGATATCAATTTTTTAAGAATTCATAAGTATAAATTCCTTTTTTTTTTGTAAGTCTATTTTATAGAATAATTTTTTATTTCATGTAATTATTAATATTACCTAAAGAATAATTAGTATAAGCAATGTGGTGTACTATAACAATATTTATTAAATATTATAATTCAAGTACTCAATATTATTATTTATTTTTAATAAATTGCTTTCTGTTGATGATAACTCAAATTATTATTATTTTTTCCTATAATTAAATATTATAAATTTTACAAACTTCAACTTTCCATAGCTATGTTCATAATTAATCATCATTAAATTCTTATATAAATAAATAAAATAATTTTTTAGTTCCTAATATCATTTATATATGAACTTTTTGTAAAATCAGAAAGCTGAAAATTAAAACAATTGTACGTCCATGGGACCAATAAATCCAGTCATAAATAAAAGCTGTAAAAATAAAATTAGTTTACTTATATTGTATGGAACTATTTTTTTTTATTAGCTATGTGATAAGTATATAGTATCTGAAATTTATTTTTGTTAATTTTTCTTAGACTTTTTTATTATCTTCAACTACTATGTATTTTTACAACAAAATATTATATACTTGTATGTTTTTTAATACTGTAGATATAGATTTTTTATTGTGTATGGAAAATTACTTGCTGATTTGCATTATATGTTCAATGGTAATTTATAGTTTGACTAGTTAACCATGGACACTCATAATATTATTTTTCATTGTAAATTAATTTAAATCAGACAGCTAAAAATCAATCAAACATTAATATGTTAATGAAAATAACTGTGAAATAATTCATCAAATCACTATGTTAATGCTTTGCTATTAAATTCAATAAATTTTAAGTTGTTTATATATTTAAGATTTAAGAAAAAAAATTTACTCACTGTTGTATCTTGAATCATTCCATCGAACTCAAAACAAACATTTTTAGGGTTATTTTCACATTTTCAATTACAAATTTTAAATTATCTTCATATATAATCTATAATACACTATACAATCTTTATGTAATAATTAAACAAAAATTTTTTATTACAAATGTAATTGTGTAAATTATTACTTGTTCTATTAGTTTTATAAATTTTATATATATATATTTTAAAAATCCCATTATCTAGATAATTATTTGAAATTTTTACTTTTAATTGTTCATTTATTTATTACTTTCGTAAATATGTCACACATATAATAAACTTAGTTTTATCATTTAAAAGTTCATAAATTAATTTGTTTTTATATTAATAAATGTATTTATAACATATCTAATTTGTTCATAACAAGAATACTTCAAAAGCTATATTTCGAGTAACTTATAAAGAATGGTTTTACCCCCTAGTTGAGAAATATGACTTGGTAATAATATTAACATGTAAATAATATTTATTTGGTTTTAACTGTTTTTCTTTACATAGACATATGAAAAATTTAAAATTGGGGGATTATAAGGCATATTTATCATGAACTACATCGATAATTTTAAAAATAATATGAGTCGTAGTAATTTTTTTATTACTTCTCAGTTTTGATGCGAAGCTGAGAAGGTATTGGTTTTACTATGATGTGTTTTTTATATTTTTTTTTGTCTGTTACCACTTTTTCTCAGTTCTCACCGAACGAATTTCTTTCAACGATACGTCAAAAGATCACAAATTGTATCTAGTCGAAGACATTACCCTCAAAAATTGTAAAATATTACCTCGTTTCCTCGTAAATGGGGGAAACCTCCAAAAAAATTACAAATTTAAAAATCGCTAATTTTCGAAATTTTTTAAATTTTTTTTACTTAAAAGTGCCATAACTTTTTTAAAAACCAAACCAATATAATTTTTTTTTATATAGATGCATGATATTATTAACTTTCATTTGGTATATTTTTTTTTTATATCTGACCCTTTACCTGCCCACAGGGGGGGATTTAAAATGACAACTTTTTCACAAAAAATTAATTTTTTCAACTTGACTTTTGAAAATTTTCCGGAAAGTCTGACAATTTTATATATATCTTAAATTAAAGCTAATGTAATATACTTTATCATGAAAAAAAAAAATTTTGTACTTTATTTTATCTTCACTGTGAAAATGGTTACCGAATGCTATTTTTGTATGAAAATTTTCGATTTTGTATTTTATATTTTTAACATTATTAAGCTATAACTTTTTTAAAAATGTATGGATCAATACAATTTTTTCATGAGAAATAGTATTTATATACATCTTTCATTCGACATACTGTTTTTTTAAATCATACCATTTCCCTATATACGAGGGGGGTTGAAATCTAAAAAATGCATGTAGAAAGTAGAACTTTTTCAACTTAAATTTTGAAAGTGTTCCGGAAAGTTTGACACTTTTATATATATCTTAAATTAAAACTAATGTAATATAGTAATTTTTACCATAATAAAGTATTATGGTAAAAAAATTTCGGACTTTATTTTATCTTCATGGTGAAAACAGACATCAAAGAAAGTTAAGAAAAACGTACGATTTCGTGAAAAAATTCTCGATTTTATATTTAATATATATTTTATATAACTTTTGGAAAAATATATGGATCAATATTATTATTTTTTTATAATAAATTTTTATAACCCCTTTCATCTGACACGCTTTTTTTGAAAATCGGATCATACCCCTTTATACAAAGGGGGTCAAAACTTTAAACATGTGTATTGAAACTAGGACATTTTCAATTTAATTTTTGAAAGTATTCCGAAAATACTGACACTTTTATATATATACTAAATTAAAGCTTATGTAATATACTTTAATTTGAAAAAAAAAAATTTGACCTCTGGATTTGTCTTCATTGTAAAAATGAGTACCGTATGCAAAAATATGCTATTTTTGTGTTAAAATTCTGGGTTTTGTATTTTATTTTATTTTAAAATACCTGACAAGGGGAGTACAGATTTTCATAAATATACAAATTAAAATTAAAATAGCATAGAAAGTTAAACTTATTTAAATTTGTTTGCTTCTTTTAAGTCGATAAAAATAACTTTGAAATTTGAACTAGCTTAAATAGCTTTAATGATGTCAATTTCAAACTTGTAATTGAGCTAAAAGTTATGGTAACATATTCAATTTTTTTTACTGTAAACTTTATCAAAAATTTTTCATCAACTTTAAAGAACCAAAAAAAACGTTAAAAATGAAAATTTGGACTGATTATTTTTAACATATTAAAAATCAAATCAGTAATAATTTGAAAAACAATTTTTTTTTCTTTTAATTATATTTTTATATGTAATTAGTAATAATATAAAAAATTAGAAGTGATAGAAAAAGTGTAATTTCAGATTTCAAAACAATGCCAAAAATTGATTTAGAGAAGTATATTTTTGCTTCTGATGAAAGTTCCTTGTAGTACAGTGCATTTATTTATAGTAACAAACAGTTTTTATTGAAAAATATTGTATCAAGCCCTTTAAATTTTTATACACGTAAAAGTAAAGCAAAATATAACTTTTTTATTATTTTTATAATTTCTTCGTATAAATTACTATATTAAATTATTGAATATCAATATCATACTAAATTTAATAATTATAATTTGTATTTATTCATATATTATATTTTAAAATCAAAGAACTACTAATCAGGATATAATTAAAGAAATAAGAGTTGATGATGCTTTTGGAATAATCCATCAATTTCTCTAAATGAAACACTATCTACAGATTTGCATCGAAGCGTTTCTTATGATAGTGATTTTAATCACTGTCAGATATCATTATACTAGATCCAACTATGCCACGTCACCACTGTGCCGCGACCCCCCTGTGCTGGGTTTTTTTTTTTATGTTGTCACTTTTTCTCAGCTTTCACCATGGTGATTTCTTTCAAGGATACGCCAAAAGATCAGAAATCGTATCTAGTTGAAGACATTATCCTTAAAAATTGAACAAATTTCCCCTTGTTTCCTGTAAATGGAGAAAATCCTTCAATTTTTATAATCAGTAAATTTTAACTTTTTTTTCTATTAAAACTTCCATAACTTTTTAAAAAATGAATTGACCAAAATAGTTTTTTTTAATAGAAATCATAGGTATTTTACTTTTATTTGATACTTATTGAAATATTGACACGTTACTTTTCCACGGGGGTGTTATAATTCTTAGAAGAGTTGATACGTTTTAAATTGTTTATTTATATTTTAAGTAGATTTTTAAAAAAAACGTGTCTTTTAACAACCCTGATTCTTAATCTTCAATAAATGACTAAAAATAAAATATCTGAGCATATTATAAATTATAAAATAACTAAAAAATTAAAAAAAAAAATAATTTATTATAGTTTATAAGCTTTTATTTAAAATTTACACTTAAGTAACTTTTACATCCTTACTGTTTTGTCACAATGTTGAAATCTAAATTTATAACTATAAAATATAAGTGAAATTCTCTAATAAAAATTATCATTCTTTAAGATTAATAAAGATATAATATATATATATATATATTAGGGTGGTCTAAAAAAATTACTTAAAAAAATTTTGTCTTCCTACCATCTAAATTTGTTTTCTAGAGTTTAAAAATAGTTTCCACATTTATACTTATGAAAAAAAATTATTTTTGAGCCATCCCAAGCAATTTAAAGTTTTTATTGTACAGAATAACCTACGGTATTTTTCCTATACTATACTTATAAATATTAGTATTATTGCAATTGTAATATTTTCTTATACGACTGTATTATTACTATATCAATAAATAAAACATTTTATCTATACTTCTGACAGGGTTATTCCTATGTATTGTACAGTGTATAACTTATTATACTATGACTATATATTAAAGGTTGATATACGTCTATTATCATTGTAGAATTATATTTTAGTTGACAGTGCGCTGTTTTGATGTTCGTGTCACTCTAATTGTTAATTGTCAGTGTGCTTTAAATGTGAATCAGTGCTAATTTAATTATACATATATTTATTCAGTAAATTAAAAATGACAACGCGAAGTAATACTTATATTTATTTAATTGGTCAGCCTATTTCAACTGTACCAAGTAATCGTTTGCCGTCTAATGGTGAAGTATTACGGTTTTTCTTTCATATTTATCGTATTGAAAAAATTTGTTTAAATATGCATGCAATAAAGTGATCGAAGAAGTTACATTTGTTTGGAATAAAGCAAGAATACCGACAACTCGAAAAGATAATGCTATAAATAAGTTTAAAAAACTTTATAATCAATGGCTAAATCTTTTCAAACATAAAAATAGAAAAACAGAGCTTCACCGACAACACGAATGTGGGTTTCATATAAAATTGACCAATCTCTTCGATATCGCTGATGCTGATGCTTTAAAAAAAATTAAAATTGATGAAGATAGACAGTTTTTACTGGCACAACGGATGCCAGGGAGAAGAGGTTTTATGTCTACAGTGGACGTTTTTACCACGCAAAAAGAGAATCGTAAAGATAAACGAAAAGAAAAACAACAACTCTATAAAGAAAAAGTTACTAATCAAAATTTGAGTAATTTTTATGATTTTACATCATTAAGTACAGAAGAAAACCATTCTAGTGATAATACTAATTCCGACGATGATTTTATTGTCAATGAAAAAAAATCAAAAAAAGTTCAAAAAGTAAAAAGAAATTGAAACCTTTGATCACATCAGAATTATCAGCTGTGCTAGATAGAACTAAGGTCAGTGATCGGCAAGCCACCTTTATCATTGGAGCTACACTAAAAAGTCTTGGAGAGAATATTGATACGTTTGCATGTAGTCAAAGTACGATAAAACTACATCGTAAGAAATTAAGGCAAGAAATGGCTAGTTTTATTAAAGAATCATTTACAATAAACAGCAAATTAACAGTTCACTGGGATGGAAAAC